TCCTATTCTTGGTGTAATAGAATTCCCATTCCATAATTCTAGATAGGAGTGGCAACAGGGCAAGGCACCCCYTCCCCGGTGGCGGGGAGGGTTCAGGGCAGGGCATCCATTCCTCATCGGGGACGGGGAATCCCCAAATTTTTCCCGCTTCAAGACAATTACTTTAAAATTATCTACTTTATACATAAGATATAGGAATTTGGGGGTGTTTTAGAATTGAATTATAATACTTTAGGGGTAATTTAAAAATAAAATTATGGAATCTTAGGATTTTAAAAATTTAGGGAAAACTTAGATATATTTTAAATGTCAATATTAAACATATAGATATTTTATTAATTTACCTTCAGGTTCAGGGCGGATTCAGGGAATTATATACAAAAYCCATCCCCACCCCGTACCCGGTTTGGGGAAAAATTATTTTCCCCGTCCCCGCCYTGTCCTTGTTTAGGGTCGAGGAAAACCCGCCCCCATTCAGGGCARGACGGGAGCTCCGATTTTATGGCGGAAATTGCCATCCCTAATTCCAGAGTTTGTTAAGAAAAAAAAATGACTCTTTGCAGGAAAAAATCAAAGTCTAATATTAATAAAATAGTAAAATATTCATGAAAACATTATTAAAGTAATAATAAGATAATGATAATAATAATGATTAGAATGCGATTTGGGAATAGGCTATTCCAATTCCAATTCTGATCCTGACTGCAAATTAAACTTTCTAAATATATTAATGAATGTCTCTCAAAATTTAGGATGTCTCTTACCACTAATAATCAAGTTATTGACTCCAGCACCTTGAAGTAGTAGTGTAAGTCGGCCAGTTTTGGGTTGGATCCAATCTAATCCAAACCCTATTAAATCAGATTTTGACGGTCCATATAATTATTGGATTTGGCCAATCTAAAATAAATTGGTCTATATTCTTATTGGTCTGAATTAGACCTAAACCAAATTTTCAATAATCCGATCATGAGTTCAAACCCTTGTTCAATTTGAAACCGATCAACATTGAAGCCAGCATAAAATCATTTTTATAAAAGTACTTTTACGAAAGCACTTCTGTAAAAGTAATTTTATGAAAAGCACTTTTAAAAAAATACTTTTACAGAAGCAGTTTGATAAAAACACTTTTATGAAAGTACTTTTACAAAATTACTTTTACATGAAAGCACTTTTATGAAAGTAGTTTTATAAAAACACTTATACAAAAGTAGTTTTATAAAAGCACTTATACAAAAATACTTTTATAAAAGCATTTATATGAAAGTACTTTTATAAAAGCATTTCCATAAAATACTTTTACAAAAGCATTTTTATGAAAACACTTTTACAAAAGTACTTTCTCAATGCCAAAAGAGTATATTTTTGTAATTTTCAGATTTCTACATTTTAATATATTTTTATAATTTTTATATGTTCTATTTTTTATATATAACTTTTGATATTTCATTCAGTTTGGATTGGATCCAATCCGGTCTATTTATATTTTAATGGAATGGATTAGATTTGATTTGCATTGGATTTAGACTAGATTAGATCCAATTCATTTATAAATAGATTCATATTGGACTAAATCTAGTCCATTTGACACCTCTGCCTCGAAGAAATAAATGAAGGTGTCATGTGTGGCAAAGAAAGCACTGAATCTCGTCTTCACCAACTTATACTCCCCCTTTTATCACATGTCTTTGATTGTTCTATCAATGAATGAAGGTGTCTTGTAGGTTCTATCAATGTCTTCGATTGTTCATGACAACAAAGGGCAGTTTGGTAACTCTACTATCCCCTGTAACGTCAGTTAACGCTGCTGCACTAAATTGTCACTTTTCAAAGATCAGGTAACGAAGGGAGACCACTCGTTAATATCAGATTATCAGTCATGATTCAAAATATCCATACACTTGATAGCAAAATTTGTGTACGGAGAGTTTGTGTTGATCAAAACTTTAGGTTTTTTTTTTCATCTTTTTTGCCTTATATATCTTTTTGGCAATTGTCTTATGACAATATATTTCATTATATAAAAAACTGAAATCTAATAATTCTCCAAAAATAGCGTATAAATGGTCCCAAAATACAATACGGTATACTCAATAAGCTTTGGATCATGTGTGTTGTATCCTTACTTTGAACCTTGATATCAATATAAGGGGACTTGTAAATATTAAATATTCTATGTAAGTTTTCACGAAATACTGATTTTAATGATGATTCTTTTTACTTTTTTAGGTGAAATAAAGTGTATGTTATTTTACCTATTCATTTGAAAAAAAAATCAAAACTAACGGAATTAATAGTAGTAATTAATAGACAATAAGCATAATTAATGAACATTTAAATTTGAATTCCAAAAAAAAAAATCTTGGCTTGTGTATTGTATATGTGTTAAAAGAGTATTTATAACCAATTTAATGAAAGACTAGCGAAAGGGGCCTGTTTTGCAGGGCTCGTTCATAAACTATCAGGTTCGAGCTCGATTCGAATTAGAGACTTAAGCTCAAGTTCAAGTTCATCTCAAGTCAAAAGCTCGGAAGTTTGAGCTCGGCTATCTTTGATTGCAGGTCTCTCAAGCAGCTGAGGTGTTGAGCTGAGGTCTCCCTCAATTGCCAAGGTGCCAAACSGATGTCTCCTTCAGCTGTTGAAGTGTCGAGCTGAGGTTTCTCTAGTAGGCAAAGTGTCGAGCTAAGGTCTCCCTAAGTTGACAAGGTGTCGAGCTGAGGTCTCCCTTAGTTGCCGAGGTGTTTAGCCGAGATCTCCCTCAGTGACCGAGGTGCCGAGCCGAGGTCTCCCTCAGTTGTCAATGTGTCGTTTAGCTCGAGCTCGATTCCAATTAGAGACTTGAGCTTGAGTTCAAAAGTTCGAGCTCGGCTCGACTCAAACTCTACAACCCTTGATTGTAGGTCCCCTAACAGTCGAGATGTCGAACTGAGGTCTCCCTCAGTTGGAGAGAGAGTAGCATTCTTATAATTTATAAGGAGAGAAAGAGATGGCATTCTTGTAATTTGTAAGAGAGAAAGAAAGAGAGAGAGTGGCATTCTTGTAATTTGAAAGAAAAAAAGCAAGAGAGAGAGACCGGCATTCTTATAATTTGAAAGAAAAAAAAAGAAGCAAAAGAGAAAGAGTTGGTAGAGAATGGCATTATTGTAATTTCTATGTAAAAAGGCAAAAAATACTGTTAGATTCCATTTCCCTCATCCTAGGCCTTCTTACATACACATTTCAGTTTAATATATTTATATATTGATACAAGCAAGATGTGGGGTGCAAAACCTTAATTTCCAAACTGAGTTGAACCTGAAAAAGAGCCCAAATGGCTAGACTGCTAATATGAAAGTTGAAAGAAACATGTGAGAATTAAAATTTGGAAAAAAAAAATAGTTAAAAGGGAAAAGTTAGGGGTGCTCATTATATGGTTCAAACCATAAAACTGAACCGAACCAAACCGAATTTGCAATTTTGTTTGGTTTACACCTAAAAACAGTTTGGTTCGATTTGGTAGTTTTCTAAATTATAGTTTACAGTTTCGCTTTGGTTTACCAAACTGTAAACCGTAAACCGAAATTATATATTATGTAAATGTATAAATGTAATATTAATATATGATGTACAAATATTATRTATTAGGGGTGAGCACTATTTGGTTAAAACCGAAAAACTAAACCTAAAATTTTAGTTTCGATTTTTTGTTAAATTGGTTCAGTTAATTCAGTTTTTGGCTAATTTGGTTTTCGGTTTTGAATTTTAGAATTAGAATTTCGATTAACCAAACTTTTTATTATTATACGTAATATATAATATATAATATTTAACATATAATATATAATATATTGTATATTTATATATTAATATATAATATACTAAAATTTAATTTCATAATATATATATATAATATATATTATATGTTATAATATATATAATAGAGTATATATTATTAAAATTTGGTTTTAACCAAAATAACCAAAAATTTCGGTTTCGATTATTTCGATTTTGGTTCGGTTTTTAACCGAATGATCACCCCTATTATATATAATATAATATATCTAAATTAAATGCATAAAATTATTAATATATAATAAAATCTTTATTTTATAATAAAATAAAAGTTATAAGTTTTAATTTTTAAGAAAGCTATTTGGACTTTCTAATTGGATGAAACCCAAAAGAATTATAAAATAGTCTAAGTCCCTAAACCGTTATTAGAAACCGCACCAAACTGTAATAAAATGGTTTAGTCTAATTTGATTTTTATACCAAAATGATTTGGTTTGGTTTAAAAATTTCTTAAACCGTAATTTATCGATATGGTATGACATCTTCTCCAAATTGCACCAAACCGGACTGATAGAAAAAATGGTCTCATACAATAAGGTAGCAATAGTAAAGCTTAGGGTATGTTGTCCCAAAACAACATTTGGGGGGTTGGTTTAATTGTCACTACACTCAAGGTAGCTGTATGTATTTGGCTTTCAAAATATAAAGAAAGGTAGCTGTATCCTGTATGTAATTTACCCTAAACTTATATGCTGGCTGTTTGTAATTACCCTTAAATCTCAAAGTCGGATCAGATAGTTTTAGATCCAAACTAGATCCAATTATAAACGGGTCGAATTCGGACCTTGTCCCGTTTCCCAAAGCTGTGTACGATTCCGTGTGACACGTAAGGTTCGCCTTCACGAACCTTCATGTTTTTTGTCCTTTCCGTTAAAGAACAGAGAGAGCAACCAGAGTTCCAGAGCCCCATCTTTTGTCCCACCGTGGGACAGGGTGGGCATCCAACCGTTGGGTCAGAATCCAATAGATCCATGCAAGTACATCTCACTGTGCAAGATGGGGTTAGGTACTCCTGTACACGCCCTTCTGAAAGCAAACAGAGCAGAATTGGCGGGTTGCCACCCTTTGCTTTCCCATACAAGGAAACTCCAACATAGGCCACCGCTGAAGCCTGAAGCTGATGGACTCTGGTCCTGCATTTCAATGGCAGTTTTTGAATTCCACAGAGATGAGAGAGAGGGAGAGGTTCACCATTACACAAAGCAAATCCCATTACAGAATAAAGTTCAGATTTCCATGCTAGCTACTACATTCTTATCTATCTGTATTGTATTATAAGAATCCCAAAGATAAGAAAACGCTATCAAATTTTTCCATTTATGTTGCTCATAACAACATCATCCCCACCAAACTCCCTAAAAGAACCAAACTGAAACCACTCCTCAAGCCATGCACACCGCTAGTCGGAGCCAACGCCGGTCCCTCTTGTGCCACCGCCGGAGCAGGAGCCGGAGCAGACGAGCCAGACCCATGGTGTCTCGGCGACAGCACGACCACGGTCATCTTCTCTCCCTTCTGGCAGTTATCCTCAGTTCCGCTGATGAAGTAGAACGGCCCCGACCGGTCGAGCTCAACCTTGGTGTTCCCATCCTTGTAGGCAGCGATCGGGTTCGACGTATTGCAAGCTGTGTACGCCTCCTTCGTCACTTGCAGAACCGAGTCCTTCTTGGGGTCGTACTTCCAAACTGCAGAAAAAGAGAAGACGTGAACAGAATCAGAAGAGAATCCAGACGAGGAAATGCCTCAAAAACTTATGATTTCAGATGGAGAGGATCACCGAGAGAGTCTCCAATTCTGAAACGAGTAGCTGCAGCCCACAGACTTAAGGACGCGCTTTCATTGGATGGGATTTTCCATGCGTTCGCGTTGCCTCCAACCAAGATGTCTCTGGCTTCGGTGAATCCGAAGAGAAGAATCGAGAAGAGCACCAACAACGATGACAGAAGAGCTGATGAAGAAGAAGCCATGACGATGGATAAACCCAGAAAAACTTGAAACGCGAGAGCGAGAAGAGATTAGCAGAGAAGAGAAGGCGATTAACACAACTCAGAGTCTCAGAGGGTTGTAGGGAGGGGGGGTTTCTTCACCCTATTTAACGTGGAAAAGAGGATAGGATAGATAGCCGTTGAACCAGACCGGTTGATAGTTCAGTGAACCACTTGGTTTCATGTTTCAACTGAAGAAATGGAATATTGGATTGGAAAGGAGTAAGAAACATAACTCGGAAGTCGGACGGGATCAGAAAGGTCGAACCATTGAATCGGAAAATTGGTGGCCCAATGAAGTTTCCGATTTTTACGTTCGATCCGAATCCGACAAGCTAAAGACGATTCAACTTACTTTTTGAATGACTAAAAAATGCCCTCACATTTTGTACGTTTTTTAATTGTGTAGAGGGCTAGTTTTGTTATTCTGCAAGAAGCCACTCACGTTTTACTACGCGGCCTGGCCACACTTTTACGAACCGCAATTTAAGGGAAAAGGTGGTAACGGCGATCGGCAAGTTTCAAGTTAAGAGAGATGGAAACGACATTTTTAACCCTCATATTTTGGTCTATTTGCAGACTTATGGGATGGAAATTTGAAAGTGAAACGTGAGTTGATCATTGCATGAGATACTCAATACTCATACCCAGCATGTACTGCATGGCAGAAAAGTTGGATCATTGATTGATGATGCCCAGTATGGCCTACAACGCATGCAGAAGAGCTGAATGTAGAAATAATCCATGTCCCAGATGGTTTGTGTTTGGATGGCAGAATTCGATGGAAAATGTTTTTCTATTGGCTGTGATTACGGCACACCCCAGTTTTTTATGAAGAGGGCACAAAGCCATAGGCCCACAAACTCTATATGACAAAAAAAATTACCATTTTTGCAGCACAACACAAGAGGTACAAATTTTGACTAGTGTCATTGTAATCAATCAATTTTTGTGAATTGTGAGAGAGATGTTCCAGATTCATCAAAAATGGGATGTGTCCAAATCATTCTCCTTTATCGGGTGCAAAATTTTCATGTCTACTTATTTGCTAGCAAAAGGGAAAGTAGTACATCATTGACTCGATCAACAAATTGATGATCCAACCAATTAAACCACTAAATTATTTGACCTGGTCAATGAGTCTTGCTTAAAATATTAATTCTCTTTTTGATTTTTTTTTGTATTTTATGGCATTTTTGTCATTAATAATTATTGTTTATCACACTATTTTTATTTAATATGATAAGACATCTGTTCAATTTTCAGTTGGCTTGAACCCTAACATGAGCCCAATGTAGTTGAAATTCTTCGTATTAGGCAACTAGACTTGCAACCCTATTAGAGGTATGCCCATATTTTCTACAAAATTTTTATATTTTCTGTAGTTTCTTGTATTTTTATCTATTTATTGTATTATATATATATTTATATAATGTTATTAAATATACAAATATTCGATTCAATTTGAATTTGACCAATTAATTATATTAGATAATATATATAATGTTTAAATGTTTTATATATTATATATAGTATCAAACATACATGTGCTTTGCACGTGACAAATTTAGATGACGCTGGTGATAATTATAATAGCAACATATGCCAATATATGTCCAAATTGTTTCTTATTTTTTTATATTTCCATGTGCATGAAAATAATTCTTATTATGTGTATTTTTGTTTAATATGATGAATATATAATATTAGAGATGTGCCCAATGTTTCTTTACAAAGTTTTTGTATTTTCTCATACTTTTTATAATTTTCATAATTTCTTGTATTTTATATTTTTATATTTTATTATTTAATAGAGTATATTACATATAGGTACTTTGTATACCTTGGGGGTAGTCTCACTTTAAACAAAGGTGAGCTTACTTTGCTGCCACTAGTTTGAGTCCGAAGTCCATTGAATGAAGAAAGATGAACAATGAGAAAAAGAGAGTCAAAATGTGGATATTTTCATAATTTTACCCCTAACCATAATATTAGTTTATTGGAATTGGATTTAAACGTATATTTCTTGAAGCTTAGGTACGAAGTGGCACATTTGAAAGTTCATACCCTAGCTGAAGTGAGATTACCCCCAAAGTACATATGCAATTTACCCTATTTAATAATGACATTGAGGTTTGATACATTTGAGCCAAAAAGGTTGAATTGTTGACTTTCACGAAGAGAAAATGGTTTCATTTTTTTAATCAATTTTAAATTTTACATTTCATTTTTTTCGTCAATGAAAACAATACTTATTTATCACACTTTAATTTTTAATATGATTAATATAAAATATTAGAAATGTAACTAAAGTTTTATATAACATCCTTGCCATTTTATATTTTGTCTTTTTATATTTTTAGTTTTTATTGTTTAATTATGCATCAATTGTAACACATTCGACCCAAAAAGGTTGAATTGTTGACCCACCATTGAATAGGAAAACAATTTCATCTTTAAGTCGATTTTAAATTTTGCATTTCATTTCCATCATCAATAAAAATAATCATGGTTTATCAGTCATTTTTTTTAAATATGATTAATAGAAAGTATTAGAGATGTGCCAAAAAAATTCTACATTTTATTACTTTTGTAAAATTCTATTGAAGAAATGTTTCTTAAAAATGACATCATGGGTTGACCCATTTGACCTGAATGGTTGAATTTCTTATCCACAACCTAGATAGAAGAACAACTTTGTTCCTAGGTCAGTTTTAAAAAACATAGGTTTCATATTGTTAAAAATCTTAATCTTAAATTTAAATATTATTAATAGAATTTATTGGTGAAAATACCTTAAATATATGATTTAATGAGAGAAAGAATAGGAATTAAGATCTTGAACGTAAGGCTAAATGAGTGGGAATTGAATAAGGTAAAAAGTATTGGTTCAAATGCCTTCAAAATTAAGGATGGACCAAATTGAAATAAAGGGGTATTTTTAATCAAGAAAAAATTTTCACACATCATACTTTTAATAGTATTACAACTATAAATGTAGATGAGTTATATAATTTATTGAATCGGATATTTAACAAATTGACTTAAGTCACCCAAATTTGCTGATTCAAGTAGTTAAATGGTATGAATAGGATATTTGAATTCAACCCGTTATTATATTCAAATTATCTGAATTTGATTTTAGATACCATTAACACCTCTAGAGAGGAAAGAATATATTAAAGAATATTCTTTTTCCCTTTCCACTCCATAGATCAAATGGGGAGGTGTAGGCAAGCATTTAATAATGGTATTCTATGACAAAGAAAGAAATTTTCTTTAATGAGACCAGCAAAATACATATGTAATTTTTTAACAAAAAAGAATGTTCCACAAAATCATACATACTAGAGAACACCTTCTTAATTTATATATCAAAAAATTATATATTTTGGATATACATTGCAAAGTTTATGAGATACTTTAACTTTGTGTATACAGATAGTGTTGAGTGTGTTTCAGCATGCCTGCTCTGTTTCAGCACTTTGAGTGTATTCAGGTTGTAGAACACCCCTTACTTTAGGGGACATCTCAATGGCCCAAAGAATCTTCTCACTTTCTGCTCTAGAAGGTCTAACATGATCCTCTATTCCTCTATACCCATCATTATCCATCAGAAAACAGAAGAAAAAAAAAAAGCAAAATTGAGGAATCATAGCAAGCAACAAGTTCATGCAACTCTTGAATTTCTTTGTCAGATGGAGTTTGTTTTATTTGTACGTACTGTAACATGATTCCTACTTATCTACATATAAAGTGAACCCCATCAAAAGACTTGTCTTAATAGCTCTCGTAGAATGCTACATGATTTGTAATTATTTTTGTTCAAGGTTCCCACCTTGTCTATAGTGCGGAGTATCAAGAGTTGCAAAACCCAKTGTTTCTTCTATTACAGCAGTCCCATATACAACATTAAGTATGTGTTTGTAATCGTGGGCGTTTATTTATTAAATATTTATATTTGATTTATTTATAAAAATAATAATAATGAATCTGTTTATTGACATTTAAACGTTATTAGGCATCATATCATTAAGGGAGTGTTCTATAACGTAGATGATAAATTGGGTGATGTGTTTTCATCCATACCACAGGTGTGGTGTGAATGAAAACACACCACACCCCAACAGGATAGTTGTTCTGCACCATGGACAAAAATGTGTATACTGATGATCCATACCACACTTCCCTTGAAACCACTCTCTCTCATACGAAGTGTTTGTCTACCTCAATGTACTTAGTTCAGTCATGCTGAATTAGGTTATAATGTTAATGGCAGCCTGATAATGATAATACAATATCAGGGGTTTATCATAAGCAATATCCATCTCATTTATGAGAGATCTAAGCCACAACAACTCTGAAACCCCATGGGTCATAACCCTATACTCTACCTCAGTTGAAGATCAAGCTACAGCTGATTGCTACTCCTCCAAGAAACAATATTACTATCTATCATAGCACAATAATCAGATGTGGATCTCCTGTCATCTATATAACCTGCCCAATTAGTATCTATATAGGGGCGTTCCGCAAGGTGTGGCACATTTCTATACACATCTCGTGTTTGATTTCATACATCTAAACTACAACATTTGAGATTATTTATGTTGTTAATAATTAAAATAAAATATTTTATTTTTTTAGTAATATATATAATAGAAAAAATATTAATAAATTACAAAAAAAAATAATTAATAAAAATTTAATTAATAATAATTAATAATACTAACAGTAATATTAATAATATTTAATAACAAATAATGATATTAATATTAACTAAAATTAGTAATAGTAATAATAATAAAAATAATTATTATTATTAATAAAAATAATATTAATGATTAATGATTAATAAAATAATGTTAACAATAATTAAAAATATCTATAATAATATTTGATGAGGGCAGATTTGGCCCTCCAGTGAAATTGCGACACATGGCACATCGTGACAACTAGGCAAACATCCAGGCAAACAACTTACCAAGTTGGTGTCCCACCCGGGCACCGGTCTGGCTGGCCTAGCGCGACCTGCACGCGGCCTGGCACGGACCGCATGGCCTACGCGCGACCTGGTGCGGCCTACGCGCGACTTGGCGCG